GGCCCTAGTTAATTGGTACGTATACTGCGCACATCCATCTCAACGTTCTGTTACTGGTTTTACACGCCATGCCTTATTGACTGCCCGCAGGCCATTTCCGTACTCAACCTAACTGACTTACTTGATCTTCGTCGTACCCTTCAGGAATTAGACCATGCTCAGTTGTCAATTCAGCTAGAACAAAAGAATGGAGAAATGTCAGGAGGTACGCAAACTTCTGCACCGCAATGCAGGGGGACCAATAATATTATATTTTTACATTGGTTGATTCGATCGTTCAGTGGAATTGACATTGAGCTGTGTAGCTAAAGTAATACCTTACAATAGCAGCCATGGCCCTGCGAAAATTCCATAGCTTTACACTGTAACATACTATGTAGATTTTTAAGGGTTGTCTACAAGTTGATTAGATTGAAAGAAGGAAGGAATAAAGGTTATTATTTATTAATATATATTTTAAATGCAGATAAAGAATCATGCATATTGTACTTTACAAACGGCTGTGCTCTCTATCTCCGATATGGAGTTTATCTCACGCAGCATCGTTTGCTAAAGCTGATAGATAAGTTCCCTTTTACTCGACCCTGACCAGTGGTAGATTCTTATTATCATATAGAAATTAGCACGAGGAACGAATACGAAATAGTAGAACCTACGTCAACTTCATGCTGTTGACGTCTTCCTCCCAAACCTACGCTGTCCAACGCTGGCGAGTCCCCACCGTCCTGTGAAGTGATGTTGGAGGCAGCGGAGGACAAGTATAAGCCGACAGAAGATGTAAGCGATGGCAGCGGCGATCGGCAACAGTGACAACAATCGTGGGTAGCGCAACTAGTAATATTACTGCTGTGGCAACAATGACACGGTCTACACCGTGGACGATGCGTACCAGGTCGTCGCTAGTCCGTCGAAATGCCTGGAAACTTGTGCTGGTCAGACAACTTTTTACTCACCGGTATGAAAACAAGTAAGCTTTAAGCTCGGTGGCTACTTCTGTGCCTGCTAGACTTCCTCGATCACAGCCATTCGGCGCTGCAGTCCTAGTTTGCCTTTAGTATTGCTAGCAATGAAGAAACGATAATCATGCAAGGTTAAGTGGAGAGAGTAGCAGTAGTTTAGGCAGGTAAAGCCAAATGAGCTTGATATAGGTGCATGAGCATGAGTGTGTGAGATTTTTCGAGACTAGTTGGGAAATTGTGAAATAGTACGTGGAAGATCAGTTCTGGAAAAGCGGACCAAAATTAACTGACGCATCGTATGTAACATTGCCTGCTCTCGTTTTTTAGCTAGTCCGACTCCACTGTGCCTATGCTTTCCGCTAAAGATTGTTTTGAACCCGCTGCTAGTGTTCTTATGTTTTTCTTTCGCCATATCGCCACATTTCTTCCGTCTTTATTCTCCATTGAGCACTCGCTCCTAGCATCCAATTTCCATTTATCCCTGTTTCTACCGTATTACACCCTGTATTACAACATGTGCCATGGACCGTCTTAATTCAGACACCGCATCTTTGGTCGTGCTCGATAGATTGCGAAGTCTAGTCCAGGAACACGGCGGCTAAGTTAGCACAGGAGAAGTCGCTAGTAGCGCATATCGTTCACAGGCGACATACAGGTAATGCGAAGGAGACAACGTGCATGAACGTATATCCAAGTTAATGCATGTAAGTATAATCTCACTAATACAAGTAGACAACAGAGATATTCTAGTCACGATGCAGTGTAGCTATGCCAGAATTGTCAATGGGCACGTGGGACACGGACATGAATGGGAAAACAGCTCAAAGAAAGACAACGAAAGAGAGAACGAACGAAAAGTCGCACGAAAAGATGATGCAATTACGTACTATTCAAGGAAAAGATAATGTTTTATGGGACCAGTGCCACCTTAGTACAGAAGGAAAGTGAAAGGGAAGTAACGAGGAAAACAGTGAAGGCCGGTGACACACGCAAGAGTGCGCCTTTTATCTGCTTGCCTTTACACCGGGATGCCTCTACGAGGCTACTGACTGGTAACAGCAGCAAATGGTATAAGACCTGCAAAAACAATTCTCGCTCGTTGCCAGGGTCGCCACCGCCACCGGTGGCGCCTTTAACGCCATTGTTAACGTCGACGATGTTGACGTCCCTCTTTCAGTACGAAGCAAGACGGTACAGACCAGTAAAGAAAGTAATAGGGAAACTGGGGCACGGAAAAAGAAAGAATTAGCGAGGAAGACAGAATGAGATGAACTGGCAGACATAACTAGATATAAAAGTAATGAGGGTATGAGGGAGCAAGCCTGGCTATGCAACGGGACGGGAATGCAAACCCGGGCAAACAAGTTTGCTCCCAGTAGTCGCAAAATCGGAGATCGGAGTAGCAGTGACGTAATTAAGTTTAGAGATCTATGAGGGCTATGAGATTTAGAGGGCTATGATCTATCCAGAAGTATTAATGCTTAAAATTCATTGATATAAATGCTCAAATAACGTTTCGTTTCTTAATGTTGAATGAAAAAGTATCCACGAACTTTTCAAGCAATTCAGTAAACGTAAATTTTTAAAAAACGTAAATATAATCTACAGGCAAATGTTTTATTTAAATTTTTTTACGCACATGTTGAGAAGTAGTTATTGTGTGGAAAACAACATGGGGAAAGTCTTCGTAAAAAAACAAGGAGTCGATGTAAAACTTACGTGACCAGCATATCAAACGACTTGAAGTTGCGCACGCACGCACTATAAGCCACAACAGGGGAGACGCAAAGTAATGAACCGCACGGCTGTGAGAATTGCGCACCTCGTATGCTCTAGTGAATTATCATGACTCGGTATAATCTAATTAGATATTTATTTATTTATAAAATAAATATTACTAATACCCGTCGACGTAAAAATGTTGTGAGGATAAGAAAATTGTCTTCGGCCAGTAGCCTGACTGGAGAACCAGAGATACCCAAAGGAAATAGCAGCAGTAGTAGCAGCTCAGTGATTATAAAACACGTACGTAAGGGATAACGACAACAGTGATTACGGTTCCAGCACTAACGGGTGGGGCTTTCGTTGCTTAGGTTGCTAGGGCTAATTGTTGAACAGATTCCACTACTGGTCTATGAGGATTCTGAAAAGAAAACAAGCTGTTAACACTGATAACAGCGGATAGCTGTGACTGTTGCAACTGTTGCTAAAATAACGAGGATGTTCCCTTTAACATAGGTGATAGTAACGAGCCCTCAGTGTCCTGACCAAGGAACACAGGACAACATATAGGATATAAAACGTACCCAATATACATATTTCAACACACAGATGCTAAGCATACAAGCTGAGTACACTTGCATTGATAAGGAATAAGAGTGAGACTAAAAATGAAAGAGAGTAGCAAAGAAGCAACAGCAAAAGAAAGACGCAGAATATTGGCCTGTTTCCGGTTCAGGAATTGCTCCTCCGCTAGCCAGCAGCAGTCTCCTTTTTCCGGTCCTATTACGGACAGGTCAACTAACTTCGCCCGCCATATTACGCCCGTTACTACTAAGCCATTGCCGTCAGTGGTGTTCGTGGATATGTCAAATCAGCCTGCTCTCCTCTACCCACCCACGTATGGCTGGCGATGCGGTTATTGTTGACGTAGTTATCGTCGTTACCAAACGTAAGCGCAAATAAGCAGGCTTCCGGCCAGTCCAAATTCCTTTACTGGATCTTCCGTTTCCACCGAATCTCCCTGAAGGCAACCAGCACTAATGCGGTCTTTAGCAACGATCGAAGCTTATTCAAGCCAAGTTGTTGCAAGACGTCGTTCCCGTTGTTGATTAAAGAGCATTCATCCCGCCTGGGTTTAAGATCGGGTCTTCGGAACAGCGACGAAAGGGTAATGGTTAACCTGCAATATTGACCGTAGGATGACAGGGTCCAAAAAAGTAAAAGACCAACCAGCCGTTCTTCCCGTGGATCCTGCTCTATTTTGCTTCCGGTTGGTTCTACGACTAACGGTGCTTCCGCTGAGGAACCTATCGGCCTGTCCCTGACTTCAGGATGAACCTAGTCTGGAAGTATAGTGATATCAGCAGGAATCAAAAGCTTCGAAGGGCTGGTAAAAAACAAGGCCATGCCTATATATAAGTCTAACATATTGTCTGCAGTCGCCTTGGCGATTGCACATGAACCTGCCGCTGAATGTTTCGGTCCCAGTTCGTTCCCGTCTACCGTTTGCCTGCCCATACACTAGCTGTAGCCTCTGCTAACTGGAAAAGTATCAGAGAACAATATCAAGACTAGCCCTCGGGCCCACAGCCAGTTGCACAAGAACCTGGGCTTTCGTAGACCCTTAGCCTATGTATATTGGCACGGCCTTTCGATGGCCGTAGGCGTCTGAAGGTTGCTAGCTGCATATAGTACGTCGCTTGTTTACAGACTACTTAACGAGGAGGGAGAACAGTGTGCGTACCCCATTGTTCTGGCGTTCTATGCCCACAAAATCATGACTGCAGACAGACTGCTGGCTGTACCACAGTATGTTGATCACCGAATGGCTGAATAAGCTGAAGGAGAAAAATAAGAATGGCCCCTTACCTTACAGGTAGTAATTTTGTTAGCTAGTATACAAATATAATAAGTATGCGGGCTAACGGCGTTACTGTTAGTTTTGACTGTGGTGATAGCCGATTAGAGACGGCATCCTGGGGGGTCAATGAACGACTTGCGCTCAGCATTCAGAAATACGTCGTTTCAGACTAGGTAGCCTATTCTATCAGCTAGCTAACTTGGTTCCTGTCAATAAAGGAAGTGAACGATTATAATTACGCGAACTATTATATCAAAGCGAATTGTATTAGGACAACTAATTGGCTACCACATAATGTCACATCTCTTAAAATGTAGACACGACAAAATCGAACAAAGGATCGATATACCCGTATCGTAATCCCTCTATTGTTTAACGAGCTTCTGTTGCTACGCTAAAAGCAGCTGTCTATGCTAGGAGACTTGCCAGACGAGTGTTTTTCTCCGTGTGTTAACTTTTCGTTTTAAGCCCCCAACAGACAAGTTCATCTCACGAGTCAGCTCTGAAGCCATTGCAATCCATACCTTCAGAAAGTTCAAATAGTAAGTAAATTAGTTTACCCATGGTTGTAGTGCCGGCAACAATAAAAGGTAGCATTAGGTAGGCCTACGTCTACTGTATTTGCTTGTTTCTTTTCAGCTAAAAAAAAAAACAAACTATATAACCTACTTTATCAGCATAATATTGTTCAATAACAAATAGGTGAAAAGTACAGGTAGTACAGGTTTCAAGTACAGGTAGTTTGCAAAACCCCACCAATTTTTAACTAACGCCATCGTCAATATGTTTTAATATTTAAGATTTATATTTATTTGAGTTATATCTATATGAGTTGATTCGAAAAAAATGTTGGCCTCTTAGCTTTCGCAAGGAAACAAAGTTATCGATTACTAAAAAAATACGTTGACTTGAAGCTGGTTTCTAACTTAAAACTTAGCGAGTTGATTCTTTACTAAATACGGTTAATCGCAGACTTTCAGCGAGTAAAGTATCTCAGATACGTTTACTTGAGTTCTTGCGCTAAGTTACTACTCAAGATACGCTCAATGTAGTAAAGAAACTAATTACTACCTACACATCTACTGACATAAGGGTCATAATTAAGCAGAGCGTCAATCAAAAACAAATGTACATAAACCTCCAATTTCAATACGAATTGGACATTCCTCATTAAAAAAAAAATAGTCCAAATAAAACGCACTAAAAACACCATTAGCTGGGTCAAACCAGTAATTAGCTTAAGATAGACATTGGCCAAATAACATTTTTCACATACAACGCTGAGTTTATGTACTTATTTTGATTTTTCAACATAAAAAGTTGACTCTGACTTACGGTTCTGTCATGACAATAATAGACGGAGTATAGTTAAAATGTGTTGTACATTTTATTGCGCAGTTAAAAAGCTGAAGTTAGACTCCTGTCTAACTTAGACCATACGACAGCAGGCAATTGTTCCAGCCCAGTTATAACATTTGAAAATCATCATATGTTCTTTATCTAAATACGCCAAACTAAACGGATAGCTTGATTTCACTACTCCAAACGTTTTCGTTTACACCAAAGGTTATCGCAACACTTTGAGCTAGTCAAAATTTGCAATATTGTTCTTTTCTCCCAACTACAGACCCTTGCTTAGTCTTTCACCTTTTACCTAAATAGTTAACGAAGTTCTAATAATTTATGTTTCCAGAGTCAACTCTCACGTGTGATCCATGAAATTAATGCAGGATACGATCATGACTGGGGCTGGGCCACTTCTCTCGGTAAGATCTCGGATTGGATCTATTCACTCTGATAAATCTTCGTCCGAAATTCCAGCTCAAATAAAAAGTTTCTGCAGCTTTCTGCGTGCGGTAGCCATAATAGGTTTTAGATGTTCATGAACCTATAAGTCGATCCAATCTGTAGTCTCACACAAGATGCATGCCGTTCAGTATGTTTCTTTTACCATAACACTCCACTATCTGCATAAAGACCAATTGTTGATTATTCATTGTGGTTTACCACTCGCATCGGTGTGAGCTTTTGCGGCAACAGACGACTATTTTCTGCCCTCCGAAAAAAGATCATTCCACCATTGTAAATGTGTAACGCTTATATGGTGGATTATTTAGTGATAGTAATCGGCTGCTGCTAGTTAGGCCTTGTTCCAGCAGGGGTCTGTGGCCAGACAGTTGACCCTAGCTTCGTCAGTTTGGTATAAAACGACCTAATCGAGACGTCGTACGTAAGAGAAATTAGCAATTAAACGCTTCGGCCGGCCCATTAGAGTTAGGCCGCGCTTACATTGACAGATCATTTAGGTTCAGCCGAGCGGACTCTATCAATCTAAGGGTACAAGGCTATCTACGCAGAAGTAATAATATATTTTAATATTTTTTTTTTTAATAGTTCTGTGGTAATGCGTTGTGCCGCTTTTTCCGATCAGCCGCTGTTTTAAACTGTGTAACTTTGTGTTTGTTTGTTTCCGCAGTTATCTCCTATCATGGTTCCGAGTAATTCCCGAGTGAATTAATGTTACTTATTTCACTTTCTTGTTAGAAGTTCCGTTGAGCTAAACGCCATATGTTATACATATGTCTAGTGTGACATTGAACTTCGCGGCCTTTTACACATAGTTGAATAGACCTCCAAACTCAGTTAGTGCGTTTCCGGGATAGCTATGCATTTTTTAAAAATGGTTTTATGGTGCAGAGTAAGTGTTTAATTTTTTCTCTCGATTCCTTTAAAATCGTCTTGATAGATGTGTATTTTGTGTAAAAACTTTCAACTTATCTAGACCCATTAATGTATTTATCATATATTTTTTTATCTTTTCTTCACTATAAATACCACTGTAAAGCCAGCCAACTTCATTAAGAACTTAGATTAAGTTGATTAAGTCAACTTGCACGACGTTTTTCATCGAGTGTTAGAACAAGCCACCAAAAAACACTACAACTAAAGTAAAACAATCCGGCCAGTAGACAGTGCGTGATTTCCTACTAGAACTAGTTCAAAAATATAGTTACAAATTAATTGTTACCCTAATCGACTGAAATCAATGATTTTTTAAGATGCAAAGGGTTGAAAAGTGAAAATCTTCAACAAATCCGCTAGAATAAGGCTCATCCAGCGCACGTCCGAGGAAAATTGCACGTGGATTCAGACGGCTTACTTTGCAATAGTACTTCAATTGTGTTCTCCGGACAGTGCTAAGATAGATTGAAACGACTCTACCAAGTGTCACGAAGCGCTTATTCTTTTGTTCTGCCTTTCATAATGATAACAGCAGGCTTTGTTAAGAACTTATCAAAACGCTATACGTTATCCAGTCGTATTAAATGGGACCACTAATGACTACTAGGAATGTTCGTTTCGGCCTGGTGAGTTTAAATGGGGAAATGAGATAACGGACTAGTCTGTTTTCTGCGAATAATTGCGCATAATTAGACCCTAGAAAAACTTCAATATACCTCTTTACTGCAAACAAAACAAACAGACCTCGAAATGTTTATGTGTGCTGACTCGCTAATAAGCACTATGGCTAATTACAGCCAATCTTAAGTCGACAATGAAACATACCGCTAACTTTTCAGGTCATGACCGTCCTTATTACGGTAGGAAATTTTCCCACCATCGGCACCGCACCAGGTGATATCCCTGTCAACGAAGAAGACGTCTATCCTTTTTCGATATTGCCCAACATGACTGAACTTGGCCTAGAGATCATCGAGGGTGATATTGCTGTACCCAGAAGCCTTTTGCGTAAAGGTAATCGTCCTACTTTTCTGCCAGTAGGTCAGCGTTGGCCTGGCAACGTGGTGCCATACAAGTACCACACATGTAAGTAAGGCGCTATTAGTTACCAAACACGTTTATGATATTTTACGTCAACACGTTATGCTGTAAGTTTCGATTCAATTGTACTTGCTACTTGAAATAAGCAGTTTACCTCCTAAGTAAACAATATGCATACAATGTAGTCTTTTATCATGTAGGCTCCATTGACTAACTCATAATCTCTTTAAAAATAGAACACAAACAACAACAGTGGACCGAACCCACTGAACCAAACATGCTGTGCCGCGATACCTCAACCCTCAATATCAACCCTTGTTTGTTCCAACAAGCAGCACGTTCCATAAGGGATTGACAAATAATAGTGTTTGACAAGGATAATTATATACAGGTATATGCATTGAAAATATATGCATATGAGTTCCTGGCGCGTATAAAAGTTCACCTAGACGCCTCGCGTTTGCGTACGGCGAAGCGGACTTGTTAAAACCTCCCTATCCTCGGCGGCCTGATGGTTCCGCGGTTACGTGTACTGATCGCGCCACTGATCCATTGTCTGCGGAAACGGAGCCCCCATCTCTGGCTACAATTATTACCATGAGCCGTACGCCGTTTTTCTGATCCCTGCACCCCATATTCACTAGATAAAGCTGACATAACAAAGCTATTCACTTTGTCTCAGCCAGTATCAAAGCTACAAGTGTCGATAGGGGCCGCGCTGGTCATCCAATCAATGGCTGACCGAAATGAACTTTAGCTCGTGCTGCTGGTCGGCGTCAAGCTAGCAGTCCCAATGTAAAACGAAAAATAGGTTGGCGCATTTAAGACGAAAACCGCATTTGTGACACATAGGTAAACGACTTCGTTTTTCAGAGGAACATCTTTTTATGCGCTGCATTACGAGAGGTGTAATATATTTGGAGTGTCTAAATACCACATGGTCGAGTCACGGTAGAGCCTGAACACTGGAAAATCCATTGGCGTGGCCATGCCAACGTAAATCATAAAATGCTCCAATGGAATGAGATATTCTCTTAGCACCCGTCTAATGAAAAATGATGTAGCACTGCCCTTGTTTCTACCGGCCGTATAGAAAGCTGCTCGATCCTATTAATATAGACCGCTTCGGCGGTATTTATGAGGCTGATTTGTGATAACGCAATTTATCGGTACGTTCTATAATTTGCAGCTTGCGAAGGCCAAACGTATGATTCAATCTTATTGGACCAAACTCCTTACTGACAGCATGATGAGAAATCTTCCCATGAATATTTATACATAAACGAACATTGCTTATCTTTTACTATGGCCTTTTGTCTATGTTAATCTGCGCTGATGCTGACCTTTGTTTCTCATGAGTAAGCAACCCAATGGATCAAGCAGTCCCCAATTATGTGAGGTAGGATTTCATGGAGTGAGTGAAGGGTTTTTGTAACTGTCAAGTGGTGTTGTTATAGATTAATTTCGAGTTTGTTGAAAACGATTATCCATTCATTTTCTTACCTTATTTGTAAGGCCGAATGCAGAAAAGTTTAACCCTTTGGTTTAACCTTTAAAACTGGTCATCTGTCAGCACTATGGTAACAAGCCAAGTATAGGCAAATAGATCTCGCCTTTTTTATAGTCATATAAAGTTATTGTGCGTTTATATCATAACTCGTTCGCACCTGTGCAATAGCGGTTAACCATTCAATATACAGGTCTTAATATTTCTGGAAAAGGGATGGTAGAGTCAAACTAAACCCCCTAAATATTTGGCTGATATTCAATCTTGTATTTGACGCCGGCCATACGCAGAGCGACAGCTCTTGAGCAAGATAAAGTACTCGTCTAGATATTGATTTCAATCAATAGCTGATATGCAAAATGCGAGGAACTTTGTTTATGATAAAAAATAGAAAGAGCCATTTCGGAAGCGGGCGACAGCATTGTTGCGACGTAAGCGTGTCTCATCAACGGAACGCATTACATTAGGAAAACCAAAAGACGGAAAGAGCCAAAGTGCAGAAGCCGGCATAGCAATGCCATAATCTATATATATGTGGCAGAAGCCACATGGTCACATGCTCAAGGCAACCGAAGCTGGACGATTCTGCTATAACAGCATGTTCGCATGCTCGAGCCACAAGGTTGGCGAGATCTAGTCGGTCTGACCTTCCGCCTGACCTTGCCTCACCCGATCAAGGTTGTGCCTGCTTTCGTATTTATGATACAGGCTTGCAGAAGACCAAACGGCAGTTGAATGGGTCACAGGCATACGCACAACACGACCCAAACGATCAGCAAGAACATGATAAGCGAAAGCAAACAGTGTAGTCAATTAGGCAGCTGGGCCTTTATCTAAAGGCCTAATTGGTAAGAATGCTCCCTAGGGCAGAAGTTCATACCAACAGAAACCACACAGTTGGGTACATTGAGGAGTCATTCTGTGCGAAGCCGGCGTGCGTATAACAATGCTGCTGACATGCAACGACGTAGCGGAATTGACAACCCAATTTGAATCCACAAAGATGCACTTAAAACATTGTATTATAGACATCTTTGATTGTAGATTGTATGACAGAAATAACGGGATTCCGCAAAAATGATTGCCATAGAAATCAACGCCTATACATATGCCTTTCCCTTAGATGGCCTATAAAACTATATTACTAACAAAGGTTACAGTGGAGGGCAATCGCCTTTGCAAAATATGCTGGTTTTTTTCATCACTCTACGAAAAATATATCGACTTCTGGTTAATACGACAAAAGACTAGTAAGGTCTTGCCGTGCAGAGATGCAACATAAGTTTAGTATACACAATTTGTTAATTTCGATTAAGTGAAGCAGATACATCCTAGGAGGATAATTTCAAATTCGGTCAGTATATTGTATATAGAGGTAAGAATAAGATTGGGCGACCGGTTTTCCTCCCACATTTTTTGAGACAGTGAACAGCGTATTTACGATCAGTTGAGTGGTGGGCAGGTGGCAACCTTGAAGGCTTTACTTATAGTATTACAAATTGAAAGTGGTTTTGACTGAGCAAAGAATTGACTTCTTTCTGTTCCGGCGTTTGTCGAATGTGTTTTTTTGGAGCGAAAAAAAACGTTTTTTTATGTACCCATACTACTATAAGCGGCTTAATATTTCTATGTGAAAAACTGTATTTGTTTGTAAAATAACACATATGTTATATTGCTTTTTTTTTCTGATCATCTACTACACACGCATTGCTCCCGTTATTACGGTCTGAAGTCATGAAATCCAACTAAATTCGTGTTCTGTCCGATACAAGGCTTTTGATTGATATGACGTATTCTTAGAAAGAATTACACACATAGATATACGTAGTCTCCAAAAAGAACTGCAAACAAAAATTTATAATTCTCTAATAATCAGTGTCACGATTCCTTTGTTTGCGTAGCCTGGCTCAGCGTAATGTTAGTGAGGTCACCGCGAAGCTCACCATCATCATTAGAGGGTTCAGCTCTTGCAAACTGGTTGTCTTTTTTTAGCCTTAAGGGGGACGAATCTGTAAGTAGGGTCTAGTTGGGGCTGAGCTTAGGTTTCCATGTATGGCTTTTTTCTGTGACGTTCACACCGTAGAGAATAGCTTTTATAAGATGCTGCCAGCCAGCCAGCCATTCAATTAATCGCAGACCTCCCATATTGTGCACACATGTCAGTACGATGTTTGAGTTGCTTTTTATCATTAGCTACCCATATATCGCCTATGTCAGCCGAAAATAATGTCAAAATTGCTCTAGCCCATACTGTACAAGGCCAACCTTGGGCAACGTGGGGTGAGACAAATTCACATATCTCATATATATAGCATCGTGATCGTCATAGAACATTACGTTCACAACACAGCGACCTTTAAGTCGGCCTGACGACTATTATCTGTCCCGGGGTCCGATTCCAGACGAAGCTACACCTTACCCCAAAAGCCCAATGATGTCCCATCAGCGCGGCATAATGCTTAATACCGCTGAGGTATCTTACGAAAGCAAACAAAAGGCAAGGCCTGTGCATTAGTGTTCATTACTGTCATATAATGAGAATTATCGCGGGCGCCTCATGATCATACGAAATGTGTCAACAATAAGCCGCAAAGAAGTTTTCATGTCGCATTGTCCAATAACTATTTAGAAAAAAAGACGTAGATGTATTCAAAATCTTTCAGAAGAAACGCAACCTCTCAAAAGTTTGTTGGAACTCTGACCGACGTTTGATCTGCCCAACAAGTAAACAGAGTCGAAGGCTTTGACGGAAATCTACGATCACATAAATAATGAAATAATCACCTTTTCGCCTCGCCGTATTCCATCAAAGCAGGGACTGTACAGGTATTAGACGGCACCATCATCAGTTAGTAGATCTGATCACAGGACTTGTAAACTGGCAGCAAGTTATTGCATGGAAAAAACATTTGTCAATGCCCATAACATTTACAACTAGACGGATACATCTATATATATATATATATATATATATATATATATATATATATATATATATACATATATACATACATATACATACAATTATTCATTAGAAAGTAGATTCTCCGAACATAGAGCAGCTTTCGTTACTCCATACACTAGTCCGGCGATGGCCAGACGTCCGGAAGTGCAAAGAGTTCGAACTCGAAAGAGCCGATAAGACTCCCGGTCTGAAAACATAGAATACTAGTAGACAGAGTCTAGCAACGGAATATGAGGATGATCGTTTACGATCGTCTCTGCTAGCCTCGGTCTAGGTTAGTGAGAGTTGGTAGGGTTAATCCAACTAATAAAAATAAGCGAGATGAGCTTGGAAATGTTTGTAGAACAAGGTCATCGTTCTTTCAAGCTTTGTGCCTGCAGAGGAGCGGTTGGTTTGACAGGCAGCTTTTGCACAAATATGCCTATGAGCCTGTCAATGCTCTGTAGCCCGTCTGGACACACAAAGTTGAAGGGGCTTGAGGCCCAGCGGCACGATATTATTGATCTCGTTCATTACCGTTAGTTCGAAGAATCGTTGAGTGTAACGGCAACCCGCTAATAAAGAATTCAGGTC